GTGAGAAAGATTAGAGAGAAAGCAATTTCTCAACATACCAATTTTATTTTTTACATAATCTCAAAGTCCTTTAGCTCCTTAAGCCCCATGATCATTTCTCTGCCTTTCTTATATCATTTTCTATCTTCCCATTGTGACAAAAGAAATGAAGAGTGATAGTTTATAAAACAATATAGCTGGATTAGATGGGTTTTTAAGGGTCCCATTGTTTGCCCCTACACACCTGTTGCAAAAATGAAAGTCCCCAACTTTCCAACAACACAAAATTTGCCATCACAAGATATTAGAAAGAATCCCATTTATTACCACCAAGGAAATAAGTAACACCAGTGCACTGTCTTTCATTCACATTAGACTAAGCCAATCAATTCGAATCAATGGAGTACATTATATGCAATCATATACAAATCTGCCTTGTAAATAGCCACTTACCTGCTTGCGCAGAGCAATGTAATGTTTTATGCTACACCAATACTTTTAAAAAGTTATAGAATAAACTGGAAAAATATTTTAAGGGGTTTTTACATATTTTGTACTTAATTCATCCAATAAACATTAATTAAGGACCTACTACACCCTGGGAATACAAATATGAATAAAACATGATCCCGGTCTGTCTTCAAAGTGCTCACCTAGTAAGGGGAAATAGACTTGTAAAGACATGATTGCCCTTCTCTGGCTCTAAATGGCACTCAATCCCTGGAAAATTAATAGTGTACATTTCTGTCTGATTTATACATGGGGGAAAAAGTTGAAGAGACTGGTGAAAATATCTAGGGGAAAATAAAAAAATGAGAATTTGCATAAAGGTTCATGTCAATGCCTTCTAATGGCCTTCTCTAGATAATACATTAAGAAAAACAATGAGAAAGGTGGGCCTGTGCAGGAATGGTGAACATTGTGTTCCAAAGTCAATCAGAAATAGCTTTAAGATCATCTAGAATGTTGTGTTTCCATTCTATCTGTTCTTATGCATAATAAAATCAAACACATTAAAAACATTTGCTGGGGAATCACTAGCAATGAGGAAACATGTTCATAATTCAAATTATGTTTCTATCCCCAAGACAGTCCATTTACTTAGGTAATAATATATTCTTTCCTTTATGTGTGAAGATGGTTTGACTGACCCACATTTATTTGAACACATATGTCAAAGATGCACATGGGTGCACCCACACTTTCTTTAAACAAGGGTCCCATTTCCTTTAAACAATAGTATTTGCTAATATGGGATCTAGACTGGACTATCGGAGATCATGGTACTAGGGAGGACCAAGTGTTTGTGGAGTAGAAACTAATCATTCATCTAGGGATTGAATTTAGAACCTCATGAATACCAAGTCCCAACCATCTGATTGTAGAGCCATATAATGAGTGAGAAGATGACCTTCTTGTTTTTAATTTTTCAGTATCCTCTTTTAAAAAGCACAGCCCCAACACAACACTTTAATTGAGATTAAATGCTGATTTTGAGATCTGCAAGGTGGGTAACAGAGACCTTCAGGTCTTTAAAAGAGAAGAGGTTCTACAGTCTGTGGGTATCAAGTCCATTACATGTTCAGCCAGAGGACCTCAGAAAGGAAATAATATCCCTCTTAGATCTAATGCTCAGAAAAATTTTATAAGTGGATTTTGAACCTTAAAAGAAAGTAATAAAAAAAGTCATGTTTATCTGAAGTCACACATTTTTGTGTTTATAAACATAACTGTTTTCTATTTTCAGCATTATGCATCATGTTGCATTCGCCAAAATTTTTTGGCAATGATTATAGTCTTATTAGCTAACAACCATGAGAAAGTAATTTACCTTTTCAACTAATTGTTTTGTTTATAAAGTCCTGTTATCAAGAACTTTGAAAGTTTTGTTATCAAGCTCTAAAAACTGGTGTTTCTTGTGTGTGTGACCAGTTTAGGTTCAAGGCATTTCTGAGTTCTGACTGGCCAATTTGCTTATGGCCTGATTGCCAGTCAGTAATGCCCATTCACAAAAGCATGACTTGAATTCATCATGTTTGCAGTGAGGAAGTCTTGAATGCTTTTTAATTTGTTTGTAGTTTATAATCACTTCTTGCATCTGGCTAATATCTGACCTTGTGTAGTTCCATGAATACTAAAGGGCAAATGCTCCAAATATGTGCATATTTTTATTGTTATTGTATAACTGATACAAGTGACCCCTCTATGAATAAAGTGTTGGCATATACAGTGACTTTGTGTTATGCCAGGGGTTTTTTTATTGGGAGTCAGCGGGGGCTCTTGCATAACTGAGACCCTGGTGGAGCCTCTCTTGTGCAGTTGAACTGAATTTTCTTCAGCATTATTTCACTCAATAGTGCCTGTTTCCAACCCTTAGCTCTATCACATATCTCCTCCCTTTAGGGTCTCAGGCTCAGCTCCTTTACCTATTAGAAAATAACTGATAGATTAATGCTCTTTAAGGTACTATTTAACAAGGTGGGTTCCTCCCATGAGTATGCATACTTTAATAAAGGAACTTTGAAGACTGAAAAGACTTAACATCTAGAGAAGAATTCTCCTGTGATCGGTTTTTCTGACACCATAAAAGACTTGTGTGACAAAGGGGGTATCCAGTTTAAATCACTTTTATTTATGTTTCTCACCACTACTTGCTAGGGAAAAACTGGCAAGCAGAAGAAGTTTATCTTTTGAACCCACAGCTTTAACTTTCTACACTCTTTGCTCTCAGTATTCTGAATACTCGGTTTCTTCCACCTGCCTTCAAACATAACACCTCTCAAGTTTAAATGGTGATGTCCCAGAAACAGGGCTTTTCTCTCCCATTAGGGATCTCCATCATTGCTGTGTCAGCAGACCTAGAAAAGTTCACTCCTACCCACAGGGGGAGGTACAGAAAATATGTTACTTTTTTGGAATGTACATGATGTCTCTCAGATACACCATTCTGTACCCAAAAAAGTTCACGTGAATAATAAGCAGTTACTGCAGTGTCTTAGAATTCTCGATGCACCTTTTCCTTTTGGTTTTTCAATTCTTGAGAATTTTGACCACTGGCATGGCCCTTAGAAGTTATCTATATAACCCCACCTGCCTTCTCCCACTTTTCCAAGTGTGACCTTTAACCACCCCCTTTGTTTTAATAAATTCAACTGGAAGTACATTTGCAAATAGATATCCAGTCAGAGCCAGAAGCACAGAGAGATTGACTCCAACCCACCACTTTTAATTCCATTTAACTCCTACTCCGCTTCGATCCCTCCATACACCCAAAAGGTGGTAACATTACATTGGTACAGGACCTAGACATAGGCATACATATTCTCATGGAGAACCAAGTTAGGACTTCCTTTAGTCAAATTGTTTCCTTAAATTCTAAATGCAAAAAGTTTAACTGCAAACCAAAACTACTTATAGGCTAAAGGTTTATAGGATTTATTGTAGACATCCATGATGGAGGTTGATGGCATACTCATCATTTCCTCCTTTTTGCCTTATGTTTATTTTTCTACTTATTCAGTTTTGTTATTTATTCATTGAGCTATTTTTTTTTCCTTTTGACCATATCCCTTTCTTCATTTATCATGTTATTCTCTGGATTGTACTTCTTGCTGTCTGCCTACTTTATTTTCAATGTACACGCAAAATTATTAGCACTGATGCTGGATCAGTTGCCATCCTCACACAGTCCTAGTAACATCTGATTGAAGGAAATGCCTTTAAGTGGCCGTTCTATTCAGTTCCCTACTGTCAAGTCACTACTCTGCCCATGATCAACTGCTATCATCCTTCAAATCTGAATAGAAACATTGATTCCTTAAGGGAGATTTCCCTGACCTCCCCCCAGTTAGATCCTGTCCTTCTGTTTGTGTTCTCATAATTGGCAGAAATGTTTTCTTACCATTCATGATTTAAAATTATGTATTTGAGTGAGGATTTGATAAACGTATGCTCTTTCCATGGGACTGTGAGCTCCGGAGGGTAGAGATGTGTGTGTGTCACTCACCGCTGCATCCCTACTCCTTCATCCAATGCCTAGCTCATCCTAGGTATTGATAAATGTTAGTTCGTAGTTATTATTATTGTTATGAATACTAAGCTTTAGGAGAAGCTTTATTTTTGTTATAAAATCAAACCTAGAAATATGTGTCGGATATACACGCTTACCTATTTTTTCCTTCGCTCATTCATTTATTTATTTATTCATTCAATACGGCTATCAGAAAAATAACAACAAACAATGTTTGATTACTATGTTTAAGCCCCTTTTGAAGCAAACAAGATTGAAACAGTCAAAAACTCTGCCGTAATTGTTTAGGGGAGAAAGGCAGGTACACAAATGATTCTAATACAAAGTAGAGATTGCTAAGTGCCCGAGAGTGTGAGAGAGCACTACAGCTTGGAGGCTTAAGGATAGCTTCACAGAGGAAGTTGCCTTTAGCAGAGACTCAAAGTTAATGGGTAACTTGGACAGGTAGAGATGGAAAGGAATAGTGTTCTAGATGAAGAAAAGAGTGAAACCAAACGTTTGTGTTTCTATCTCTTGAATGTCATGTGCATGTCTAGGAGACAGTATCTTAGTGATCTCAAAAGGGAGATAAAGCTGAAAGTGGAGACTGAAAGATGTTCATAGAAGAGCTTGTATGCTCATTACAGGAGCTTAGATTTTTATTCTTAGGCCAGTGTGGAGTGATTGGAGGCCTATAAATATGATGATCTCAACTAAGTTGTGCATTTGAAAGATTAATTTGGCATTACTGTGTTTCAGGGTTAAGTCGGCTGCTGTGCTGATCATGGCAACTCCCATCTCTGATGCCTGTGTCCCTGTGTCCCTGTGTCTAACCCCTGATGCCCTGGCTTGGGGTCAGCTGCTAAATTCCCCTCATACTGATTATCTGCAGTTTGAAACTCTGCTTGTCACCTGTGTGGCCTCGGTGGACACACTTAATCTTGGTCTCTTTTAATAAATGGACTACTCATGAGACATCTTTTGAGCCAGGTTTTCTTACTTTTATTTTCAGATGAGGAAACTGAGGCTTGTGACAGAACTGATTTTCAAACCCAAGTCTTCTGAGCTCTTTTCTGTCATAAGTTTACAATCTCTCTTAACTTCAATAAAAGTAAAAAGAGTGAGTACAAATCAAAACACAACAGTTAAAATTTATTGAGTACTTTTATGTGCATGTTCCATTCTAAGTGTTTTTATGTGTAATGAATCATTTAATGATCACAAAAAATATTGTGAGGTAAGTACTATTTAACAGCTGACAAAACTGTGATAAGAGCATTTAAGTAATGTGCCTCATCATGAAGCTATTAAGTGGAAGAGTCTGAATAGAAACCCTAACAGACTGACTCTGGAGCCTGTGCTTTACTGCTATTGGCTCCTAAATTAAGGGACATACATATGTGAATGCACCTATTCATTGTCCCATTTACAATAGATGTCTAATAAATGTTGCTTGAATGTCAGTTCACTCTTTGATCTCAGCTAATGCTGTGTGCATATTACTTGTCCTGTGCCTCAGACCAATTCTGTGGTCTGCAATTTGTTCTCCAGATGCTCAAACACAGGTGGTCATCCTGAGATTAATAGTTCTACCGTGGTCCATTTATGTTTGGGTCCTCATCTACTGCCAACCCCAAGAGTCTATAGTCACTCATTTTGCTTTTCAAAATGGTCTTTCCAATCAGATTCAATCTCCATTTTTCTAGTGATTTATGGATGGCATTTGTTCTTCTGTACTTGCAGTAGACATGGTCTTTGGAATAGGTCCCCATAACCACTCTCTGGAGAATAAACCTTTTAGAAACCTATACCTCTTCTATTAGCATTATATGGACTTCCAAAGATTATCAAGAAAGACCATTTGGAATGGCAAGCGATTCACTTAAAAATTCAACAAAAGGTATTGAATTAAAAATATGAAAACTAGCAGCTATTCTATGTCTACCATGTTATGCCAAGAACTATACATTTTCACACACATGTCTAATTTAGTAATCACAACAATCATATGAAGAATGGCCATCTCATTTTACAGGTCAGAAATTAGGTTTAAAAAAGTAGAGATGCCCATGGTCACAACTAGTGAGTTGGAGAACTACAGTATAAACACAGGTGTATCTGACTTCAAGATCACCTATTTGATTAACAAACACTTATTAAGTGCCTACTAGGAGCTAAACACTCTGTTAGGCCTTGGCAATGTGTTAAGTAGGCAAGATAGGCATGGCCCCTGTCTGTAAAGAGCTCACCATCCAGCAAGAAGAATAGATAACTGTATAATAACATAAATGTTTTGATGGAGGAAATGAAATCAATGTGACCTTTCTCTACATTCCATAAGTGGGAAAAAGTACCAGCCTTAAATTAAAAATACATATATAAATATAGATATAGATATACATATACATATAGATGATATAGATAAAGACATAGATATATCTCACATTTAATGAAGTAATTGTTTTCTTCCCTCAGATCTTTATTCCTCATTGTTTTACTCTAAATTACTAAGGAGTCTATTTGAACAACTCAGGGTCCTAATGGTATGCTAAGCACCATGATATCTATCATTAAATTTTTTTTAAAATATAAACAGGTATGGTCCCAGGACAATAGAAGCTTAGACAGAACTGGCAATAGTTGTGGGCAATGTAGATGCTGGGAAATTCTAGGAAAAGCTTGTAAAGAGGTTCAGTTTTAATACAATAAGTTCCCTTTGCATGAGCGGTCAGCGAAAGCCAGCTAGCATGGGTTGGTGCTTTGGCGATGGCTGTGGACCACGAGAGGAGTTTGTGCCTCGTCTTGTTTACAATTTGTCTGAGGCTTCTTGAGCTCAGCCCAGCCATAGGGACTCTTCCTCTCAAATATCAGACCTGATCTTTTCAAATAAAACAGTACAAAGCACATGAAAATCTTTGATCCAACTGTTTACTTTGCATTTGTGTGTGTTGGGGGAAATGGGGACAAAGGAAGGATTGATTAGGCCTTGCTGTGGGTGGCCGGTGCAACCACTGAGCACGTTAGAGGAACATTGGGAGTGCTCTGAGCTGACACAGTGGGCTCCTGTCAGCTCTCGGACCCCCCCCCCCCAGGCTCCAGCTAAATTCTGCCGACTTGCTCTATGCACCTCATTTCAATCTTTTTGTCCATCAGGGGGCAGTTCCTGAGATTGGAGGCCTTGGTGTTCAGCTGGTCAGGCCATCCATCTGCCTCAGGACACATCAGAGCCTTTAGGATTCTCTGAAAAAGAAATTTATCTACCTCTCTGAGTGATAACACCTTTCTTTTTAATGAGCATCTCATACTTTTAAAGCATTTCACATAAATTAAGTTATTTTATCTACATCCTCCAGAAACAGGTGGTTATTTATATTCTCTCTATCTCTCTTTGTCTCTGTCTGTCTCTCTCTCTCTCTCTCTCTCTCTCTCTCTCTCTCTCTCTCACACACACACACACACACACACACACACACACACCAGATATTTCTACTACACAGTTTAGAAAACTGAGAGTTTTGGTTACAGGAAAGAAGAATCTTTAACTGACCCCTGCTATAGACCAGATACTTTCAACAGATTATCTCATTAATCTTCTCGGAAGTCCCATGAAGTAGGTAAGATTTTCCCCATTTAAGAGATAAAAAATACTGAAGCACAGAGAAGCTAAAATCTCTCTGGCTCGTTCATAATAGATATTGATACCTGTTATTATATCCCCAAAGAGGTGGAGTTATGATTCAAGCTCACGTACAGTACATTGACTCCACGGCCTGTTTGTCTGTTCTCCTCTCACACTGCTAGCGGCCTAAGGTTGCAAAGCTGAGCTCCCCACAGGACTCTGGACTTCTGACTGCCAGCTCGGTATTCTAATCTCCTCCACCAACTACCCAGTGCAGAGGAACTACTGCTCTCAGGAAAATCCTCCTTTGTCTCTGTTTTCTTTTATATTTGTGCTCAGGAGAGACAAAGACCATTTAAAAGGAAAACTGCCAAAAACAGGCTTGAGATAAGTAAATGAAAGGAAATTACATGGGCAGAATATACAGTGTTCTGAATGGGGATTCAGGAACTTTCTCATATTTAGGAATGAGAATATAGCAAAAAATTGCGCTTTCTTTTAACTCAACAGAAAAGCAACTATGATTACTTAGTAAATACAGCGGACGGAATATATAGGATCCTTGAGTGTTAATATAGAATTGTCCTCTTATTTCTCAGCACCAAGTCACCTTTCTTCCCTCACTCCCCCCACCAATCCCATCCCCAGATAAAACTGTTGCACATTAAGTTCTTGGTCTCTGGATACTTCAGGGATGGCACTAGAGAGGAATGGAATTTAGAAATCCATTACAAACCCAGTACATAAAGCTTAATAAATAGCAATGTCTAGTGAAATTAAATGCCTCTTTTAAAAAACTGTTATTCCTAGATTTCAAAATCAAATGAGGCATTTTAAAAAATGAAGATAAAACATGATTGTCCCATGTTTATGAAACAGAATTTTAAAATATCTACTCGATGTGTGTGTGTGTGTGTGTGTGTGTGTGAAAGAGAGAGAGACAGAGAGAGAAAGAGAGAGAGAGAGAGACAGAGAGAGAGAGAGAGAGCGAGAGAGAGAGAGACTAGGTACTGTAATTTTAATTGCTTGTAATCTAACTTGGTTTTTTGTTCCTTTTTCTTTCTTTCTTTTCTTTCTTTTTTTTTGTATCAGTTAATCTGTTGGTTACATTTTCAGCTTTTCTTTGCTTCTGGTTTCATTTTCAGATGAAAAAATGCTAGGCACACAGTGCTGCTGTCTGGTTGCCATGGCGACCACAGCCTATTATCCTGCCTTGTCATTCATCAAGAAAGAATTGCACTTGACAGAGGGAGAGGAAAATGCCTGCAGTCTGCAACATAGAAGGAAAAAAGGTTTTCTTTTCTTCTATGTATGTAAAAGATCTTTAATGCCCGTTTAGTTACATGTTTTATTTGGCATTATTTATTACTTGTAATGACAATAATTGATACCTGTAAAAATGTATCCCCTCCCCTCAAAGTATTTAACTTGCAATTTGTTTATTTGCTTTGCTTTCCCATTTCAAACCTATACCTAGTATTGCACCCCCACCTCCCTACCACAGATGTTGCTTCCATTCCAGTAGCAGGAACAGCCAAAAGATTATATTCTCCACAGAGAATGATCATGATAAAGGTAGTGAAATTCTTCCTAAAATTGTGTTTTATAATCAACAGTTCTTTGTCCTGCTATTCTTTTATTATTATTATTATTAAATTTATCAGGGTGACATTGGTTGGTAAAATTACATAGGTTTCAAGTGTACAATTCCGTAATACATCATCAGTATCTTGCACTGTGTGTTCACCACCCAGAGTCAGTTCTCCCTCAGTCACAATATGTATGAGATCTCATTACCCTTTTCTACCACCCTCCTCCCCCCTTACCCTCTGGTAACCACTAAACTGTTTGTTTGTTTGTTTGTTTGTTGCTTTCAGTTTTATATCCCACATATGAGTGAAATCATATGGTTCTCGACTTTTTCTGTCTGACTTACTTCCCTTAGCATAATAATCTCAAGATCCTGCTATTCTTAATTAGTGTGATACATAATCAATCAATAATTGAAAATAACTTTTCATTAAATGACTTCTCCAAGTGTGCAATGCTTAGGAAAGATAGCATTAGCAAATAATGCAAAAGTATGGCTATCTTTCCATCAGGTAATTGAATATAAAATCATGACTACTCTTTACAAATTTGGATCCATCCCAAATTCATTGTTCTTCAAAAGCAGGAAAGGATCATTACTTGTTATTAGACTATTTCCCATCATGTCCATTTGAATTAATTCAAATTATATAAAAAATGGTCTAATAAATTTTACGTGTTTACACACCAAGCCTTTTTTATTTATTTATTTTTAAGTCTGGTATTTTTACCTCATTATTCAACTCTTGAAATATCTGTATTTGGTGGGCCATTTTAAATAACTTTGCTCTGCTAATTACTTTGCTTTGGTGTTTTTGAATTGTTTGATATCCTTGTTAAGGTGGAGAAAGTGGTTGTAAAATAAGCAGTATTTTGAGTTGTGATTTTCTGAACTTGGTTTTTGAATATCTCTTGATCTTTTGTTTCAGTGATCAGAGAGAAGCTGGACAATAATGACACTTCATCTTGAGTTGGTAAAAGACCAGCATTTAGCATAAATGATTTGTTGCAATTAAGCCATTCCCCCTTGAGTGTAACTGGGCAACTAGGTTGAGCAAAAATGGACTTCTGAAGTTCAATTTCTATTTTTGTCTGAGGACATCTTACTTACTAGAGGTCAAACTTCACTAGCACACACAGAGATACTGAAATCATATTTCTACATTGTAAGTGAAACAGAGCATTGGATAATTATCTGGTCAGTTTTGGTTTTGAGATGGTTCAAATTCTAACCTTCCCACCACTTCCTTAATTATATGGATAATTTTGGAAAGAGGAGGTTTGGGGATGGAGAGGATAATTCTAAAAGAATTAAATAATTACAGCTGTCAGGAACTCAGTCTATTAGATATTCCTACATAATAACTCAAAATCTCTTGATTTTCACTGGATCTAAGATATGTCCCATTAATGCAGACTTCCCAGCATCCTTTATACACCCTGGCCATGTAAAAATGTAGGAACAATGGAATGTTTTTCTTTAATCTTGACATTTGGGGGAGCAAAAGGAAACAACAAAAAGGAAAAAAGACACATTGAGTTCAGAATTATGGCTTTTCCTATTGGTTCTAAACTTTTACTTTAACATTGCAGCAACACCACTGTTCATTTCCTGTTAAACTTCAAGCCTACCTTACCTTTTGATTTTCGAATGTCCCTTAGGCTAATGTTTTCACTGAAGAATGAAAATGAACAGGCAGAAACAATTAAGCGAGCAGATACAGTGAAAGCGAACACCACACTGCACTTTCACAGAAATGAAAGTGTATGAAGGAATTCTGCTTGGAATTTGATCCTACAGCAGCAAAGCTTTTGCCTCTTGTCATTTTTCTTTTGCCCACCCCCAATACACATCACTTCCCCTATGGTTGGGGGCTGGGGGGGGGTGGAAATCTAGGCACACAAAGGAACTCATAAATACTCACAGGCATGGGAAATATTTTCTCTGCCTGTTACTAATACAGGATAATCTCCAAGAAAAAAAATTCATCTACGATAGATATTCTAAACGGCAAATGTCTCCCAAAGTCTGTTAAATGTTCATATACGTCTTTATGAAATTTGTAATATGGACTGTTTATACACTCCTGATTAAGGGCTTGAGTATTTTTAAAAGGATCAATTCAGTTTAAAGATCTAAAATTATAAAATCAGATAAAACTGTAACCTACAAGAAAAAGTGTGTTTTCAAATAACCTATGGCTCTATATAAAAAGATAACTCAACAGCCAAAAGTGAGCTGTTAAAGAGCCTTCTAAGTTCTATCAGGAATTAACAAGGAAGTAATTAACTCTACCTCAAACAAATCTGCCATCACATGTTTATAACATTTTTGTCACTCTATGAAATCTTTATCTTCTTTTTTTTAGTACCAAACTGAGATATTTTAGGTGGCAGGAGCTTGGCATTCCTACTTTCGGATTTACTTTGTTAAAACAGAACTAAATCATACATTGCAATATAGAAGAGACTGGTTACAATTTAGCAAGGTAGGGTGCTGAGAATGAGATATCATTGTATGCATTTTAGAAGACTCTATATTATTATCTAGCATAAGAGTTACATGATAGTTTCAAGGTTGATTCCCATTTAAATTCAAAATTAATTTTTAAGATAGTATGCAATGGGAAATTGCTGTGTGAGAGGATCAGAATACCAAAAACACACACAAAGTTGAAAGCTTGTGGATATCCATATAAGTAAAACAATACCTCAGTAATGAATCTGGAAGATGGAGGGCATTCATAAGATTATGTTGAGTGGAAGGCATGGTTTTGTTTTTTATTACATTTATCCCTTAGTATTTTCTCAATAAAACACCTTTCACAAACCAGGGGCTTTGTATCTTTGTTGTTGGTATAGAGTTTTTTGTTGTTTTTCTTTAATACCAGTATAATAGTTTTACTTTGCAGTAATGAGGATTCAAAGACAGCTGCTAGCAAACATAAAACCAGTATACATAAGCATTACAATTGACTTTTTGTTTGAGATTCCAGGATGAGGTAAATTTGTTATCCTAACAAATGGATAGTTACATGGAAATTGACTTCACATAATAGGGAACATTTCCCTGGAAAAGAAGGAAATTTATATTTGTTAAAACACCAAACACTGACATACTTCCTTTGCTTTGTTACTGATAAAAACAACAACAGCCAAAAACACCCACCTATGTGGTATCTAGACATGAGACCTCTCCAGTAAACCATTCTTTTTCTGGTTGTCATAATAATAGTCCTGGAGCAGTTACAAAAGCACGAATGGATTTTCAGCCATCCATGGAAGTCATAACTGGGATAGGACATTTTCTTAATCTTATCTACAGTCCTCTGTCATTAGCATCATTCGAACTAAACAAATTGAGATTACCTGATAGCCTTGTTTGTTTTTATAACATAAATAAAGGTAAATCTAAAATATTAATGGGTATATTTACATGTTTTGTAACACAATATTATTTTCAGATTATACTGTTATATTTGTTAAATATCAAAATGATCTTATAGAAAGAAACTATGGGCAGTGGTGGCAGTAGGAAAAGTGTAAATATATATATATATATATATATATATATATATATATATATATATATATATAATTATTGAGATGGCATCTTGAAACTAGTCACCTCTACAATTTGGGATTCTCTTTGCTGAAGGTTCCTAGCAGCTTCCCGAAGGCATGTCCATCCAGAACCTGTAAATGTGGCTTATTGGCAAAAATAGTCTTTGCAGATATAACTAAGCTGAGGATCTCAAGAGAAGATCATCCTAGATAAGTATTGGCTCTAAGTCCAATGATAAGCTTTACTGTAAGAGAAAAGAAGGGGAGAAAACACACAGAGACACACAGAAGGGAATGTCATGTGAAAACAGAGGCAGAGATTGGAGTGATGAATCTATAAGACAAGAACTACCAAGGATTGCCAAGCAGCCAGCAGAAGCTGTAAGACAGACATGGAATGAACTATCCATCAGAGCCTCCAGAAGGAGCCAACTTGGCCAACACCTTGATTCTGGACTTCAGTCCTCCAGAACTGTGAGAGAATACATTTGTTGTTTTAAATCACGCACATTGTAGTAATTTGTCACAAGAGTTCTAGGACACTAACACTAGGTCATTGAACAATTAAAGGAAGCACTTTAGCACACAGAATACAAGGGAGGATAGAATGACCAAGCAGGTAGAAGGAGCGTATGCAACTGGACCTCATGAACAACCAAAATTCAGGATCCAAATTCTATCAGAATTCTCTGTCTTACTTTCCTGCTTCATTGTCTCACATTGACAACTGGCCTTCTTCACTTGACAGGAAACTGCTGCTAACATCTGAAATTTTCCATTCTATGGTTTCAGTCATCTCAGACAAATTCCCTTTCATATTTCCAAATCCTGTGGAAAGATTCTACTTTTCTAATTTGGATCATGCCTATCCCTGAGCTAATCAACCTAGGCTAAGCTAACAAGATCTTATAAAACATGGTAGTACCTGGGAACCATAAAAAAAACTAGAAGGGCCGGCTGAGTGGCTCAGTTGGTTAAGAGCTCGCTCAAGAGTTTGAGCTCTGAGCAACAGCAGTTCGATGCCCAGGCCGAGCTGAGCTGCCGCTAAGCTGCCAATAGGTAGCAGGATGGCTCAGCTAAGAAAATAAACAATAAAAATAAATTAAAAAAAACAAAAAACTAGAGGTGCTGACACCCAGGTGTCCATCACATGGGCTCTCTTCTTATCTGTCTGTGATGCTATAGTCATTTTTCATAAGCAAACAATGTGGTATTTGCAAAGACAGGATAAGATCTGGAGGTGAGTCTAGGCTCTGCTATTTACTGAAGGTGTGATGTTAGCAAGTCACTTGATCTTTCTGAGCTCCTTTATCTTCTTTTGAAAAATAAGGGTAGATTCCCTGTACATATATATCTCAAGCATGTTTGTTAATGATGATAAAAGAAGTATAAAACTTGAATGGATCTTAAAGACAGTCAAGGTCAGTCACTTCATTTTTGTAGATGAGATTTCAGATGTTAATTGGCAAGAAAACCAGGGCAAGAATTTAGGTTACTTAACTACCAGATTAGTGTTTCTTCGTTATTTTATAGGATATGTGCCCATCCCTGTGGATATAAAATAAGGTCTCATCTGAATGGTGTCATTCAACTAAGTAAAATACACCTCTCTTAAAATGGACACTATTATTAGATGTTAGCTTAGATAATAGCACAGGGGTAAAGATGTCAAAAAAGAAGGTGCAAAGAAGTGGGTTGGGAGCTGAGATGTGAGAGACACAGACTAGGTACTTGTAAAATTTTGCCTGCCCTGGAGCCTACAGAGTGTAATTATTTTGAGACATCTTTCAGACAGGAGAGAAATAAGCCATGGCAAGATAGAATCCTCTAAATCTTAAGCCATATTGTTTATATTCTCCTACCTTATGTTTATTTTCCTTTTGGCATCCCTTATTGTATAATGAAAATATTTTGAAAGAACCCACTTGTCTCAGTTTTACAATGAGAAAATCAAGAGAAAGATTTTGCCTTCTTTGAGCCAAAGTTGGGTCAGAATAAGAACAACTACCAGTATGCCCAGTGACTGTAGTTCAGCTTGGTTTTTAGGCTTCTAGCAAATTTGATGCTCATGCTTATATTTTCAAGTTTTTATAAGATACACTACATTTTCAGTTTGCTCTGGGCCAAAAAGACCTTTCTTCAGGATATTATAATCATAATCAATGAGACCTATACATACTGTTACATATATGTACACAAATGCACATTCACACACACTTGTATTATGTGGCAGCCACAGACAGAAAGAGTGTGCTTTTTAAAGGCCCTGTTCTGTAAAAATTACTGCTTAAAATGACTACTTTGAGTACAAGAATATTACCTGCATTTGCTAGTAATATATATTCTTTACATAGTTACCTGTAGGAATACTTCAAAATTTTCTTTAACAGAACTTTACAAATACAGTAGAAGGATTGCTTGCAAATGGTGGAACATTGCCTTGGTATAAAGACAATATGTAATTAATACACAATCAGTTTATTGTATATTCAATAAATTATGAATAATTCAGTCTATGAATCTGATAATTAAATTCCAAATCCTCTCACTCAGTTTTGATGAGAAAAACATTAACCAATGAGTTCGATCACTATTTGATCCAGTCTGAAACCTATTTGCTTTTGTCATTCATTCTCTTCCTCACTGTTTCTTGCTATCCTTGCCCCATCAGTCTGTGCTAAAATGGCTCCTTTGTTAGAGCATTTCAGGTAAATTTCAGTCCTCAGGTCTGCTATTTCTCAATGCTCAGACTTTGTAGATATAAATATGTGATCATTTTATTTCTGAGGAATTTACTTTCTTCCAATGGTCTTTGCAAAATGTAAACCATGGTTCTTTGGATATATTACACAAAACAGACAAAATTAATTGGCCTTCATAGTGCTTATATTCTACCGACTAAAATGGGGGGCAGGGAGTATAATAAATAAGCTATGGGGAAAATGAAAAAAAACAGAATAAGGGAAATTAGGGGTGTTAACAGAAACAGAGATACAGGTGGCAATTTTAAATAGGGTGGATAAAGGGGGTCTCATTGATGCAACTTTTGAGCAAAGACTTTAGGTACAAGAGTGAGTTAGACACATGAATACATGGAATACAATGAGTATTTCAGACAGATGGAGCAACCATTGAAAAGGCACAAAGGAGAGCAAGTATTTTGCTTGTGGTGGTAGGAAGAGTAATGCCCCCAGAAGTATTATGCAGACCATATCCTAATACATGGAACCTGTGACTGTTACCTTACATGGCCAGGGACTTTGAAGATGTGATAAAGTTAAGGATCTTGAGATGGGGAGATTATCCAGGTGGGTCCAGTGTAATCACAAGTGTCCTTATAAGTGAAAGAGGGAATAAGAGATGTGTGATAGAAAGCAGAGGTTGAAATAACGTGAATGCTGGTTTTGAAGACGGAAAGACACTGTGAGCCAAGACATGTGGGAAGCATCTAGAAGCTGGAAAAGGCAAATAAATGGATTCTTCACTAGAGCTTTCAGAAGGAACACAGCCATGCCAACTCCTTGATTTTAGCTTATTGAGACCCATTTTGGATTTCTGACTTCCAAAACTGGAATATAATAAATTTCTGTTGTTTTAAGCTGCTATTTTTGTGTTAGTTTGTTAATTAGGAATAGAAAACTAATAAACTACTTCAAGAATAGTACAGTTATTCATTTATTCAGATAATTTACATGGAGTATTATTTTGTGCATAAAATACATGTCAATCACTAACAGAGGAATGGAGATTCAGAGTTAAAACACACAACTCTTACCTTGAAAGCTATGATCTCAAAGCAGTGATAAATGATTCCTACATAAGGTGGCAAAAACTATGATAAAGCTAAGCACACAATACTGTAAGAGCACATGAAGGACATTTAATCAGACTGAGGAGGAAATAATAGCCTGGAGGAAGTGATATTTTAACTAAAATTTAAAAGATTAGCAGAACTAATCTGGCAAAAATGGGGGAAGAGAACATCATACGTATAAGTAATGTTGAGGTGAGAAAACCATAAGAAAATATGTAACATCCAAGAGACTGTGAGTAGTTTGCTACTCACTGGAAAGTAAAATGAAATGCATGAGAAACCAAGGACTAATATACTCATAAGGTGTACACCTTAAACAAAGAAATGTGTTAATATTAATGTTATTATTCTGTTAATAAAGTATAATTTGTCTATCAGAAAATGTACAGATGTTAGGTATACAGTTTGATTAGATCTGGCCATTGCATTCACTTGTATGCCCCAACAAGATACAATCAATTCAGCTGCAATATAAAATATGCATTCCTAAAAATCACCATTACCATGCAAAATCATGCAATAAACATCACAAGTCTTATGCAAAAAATGAGACTGGGGCAAAACATTCAAA